ACGTGTGCTCTTCCGATCTAAGTTTCAAGCTTTAAAATGCTTTTTTAATTTTTTGTCAACGATAATTTTTCATTGATTGTGAGTTACAGCAATTCGAATACTGTCCAATTTTGAGCGTTTTGAAAGTGTTCTCTATTTTTTGTTGAATAGTGTATATTAAATTGTGTTATTTTAATCATAAATTTTATTCAAATAGTATACATTTATAAATAAAATATTGATTTCAATAAAATAATTATATTCGTAAAGAACCATAATTTAATCTAAAATTTAAGCGTGCTTAAACTTTTAAGCGATAATATACACACGAAAAATAAAATAATTTCATAAAAAGTAGGGAGATTATTTGTAATAAAATGTAATTTAATAAACATTCCGATCATTGAATCTGAAATACTTTTCTTTCTATTTTCTAATTCACTCACAAAGTAAAATTTAATCAGAATTAACTTGTTAATAAAGTTTCTTATCAGTAATAATTTCTAAATATTGAAATAAACTAAGTTATACAAGATTATCATTTTAGTATGAAAATCTCGTCTGTACCAGGAAACTATTGCAATTATACCGATTCTGACAACACTGGTAGTTAGATAGATGTACTCTAGTTGAATTACGCTAAGTAGTATTGTCGATATCAATCTAATTACTTTTTATTTTACAATACTGAAATAACTATCATCAACTGCTCTTAAATGCATTTAGCAAAGTCGCTTTACCAAGGACATAACTATTTTAAATTTGTCATAAATTTAAACTTAATTCAATGAAAATTTAAGGCACACATGGATATATTTTAGTATTTTATTCATACAAATGAATCGATTTACTTTGATTTATCTCAACTATATAAATTAAAAAAAGGATTTTTCTTCTTTTTTTTTATAATGTTATCTATGTAGTTCCACTTATATTGTCAAAAGTTAAATAATTGCAAATATAAAGCTATTACTGTCTAATAAAGTATTCAATTCTATTTCAAACTTAGCCTCGGAGTTTCTTTTTTTTCTTTACAGTCGAAATCTTGATGTTTACATAATCTAATAATCTAATTACATAATCTAATAATCAATACTTTTATTTTCGGATTTTTTTTTAATTATAATATTGCAATACAACGTATATTTGTAAAACTTCTATGCAGTTTGCATCACTGTGATATTCGCTTACAATATGAATTTGCAATGACATAATAGTGCATATATTGATCGAGATCACAGATTAAAGCCATCGTCTTCATTATTTCGAAGACTTAAGAAAAACTGTGTATCAAAAAAAGAAATATACAACTATTGTACACTAAGCTGGTAACAAATCAAAATCATCTGAAACATGCACCATGGGAACATGAACATCTTCTATCTGAGGAGTCGTTTTGGATTCACAAAGTCCTACTTCTTTTAATTTCCATTCCCAATGCATTCGTTGAACAGCGTGCAAAGACTCTGCTTCATTATGATGTCTCAACAGCATACCTTCCTAAAATTATATTAGATGTAATAAAAATTAAAACTGTAACAAAGTAAAATATTTTAATGAAAAATTAAAAGTACGGATACGAAGTAAATATATTAAGCTGTTTTTTGAAAATTGACAGAAATTCACATAATAAGTTAACTGATTTAGAATAGCTATTTAACTTCAAATATAAGTTAAATATATTATTATTATATAATATATATATTACATATTATATACATATAATATTTAAATGTGATCAATAGATATAGGGAAGAGGAATAAAATGACTTTAAGGCTTGTTGATTTTTCCTGATGCGAATTTTTATGATGATGTAAAAATAATAATTCATTTTTTTTCACTAAAGCCTTATCTATTATCTATAAAAAAATCTTGAAAACTTAAATAAATTATAATTTTTTGAAATTTAAATTTTGTTAAGAACATGTTAATTTTGTCATCTTGCGCCCTTATACGAAGATGATTTTCAAAAGTGGATAAGATAATAAATCAAATTAAAAATATACTTTTTTACAAATAAAAAGCTTTATTCTGTTGTAATGTTGTAATGAATTTTTTATATATTTGATAATATAATATATACAACTACTTTAAAAAATAAAAGCAATCAGTAAATTACATATGATAAAATTTAATTTACACAGATAATCAATCAAAGAACTAATTTGATATAATCACATTTGTAAGGTACATTAAGTGGACGTTTGTTAAAGCAAATATAACTTGCTTTGCACGAATACATCATATGTCTACACATGACATTCGTTTTCTTATTTGTAATCATTGTGTTTATTCATTTAATAAAAAAAGTTGCAACACGCAAAATAAAAAATATTAATATATTATATATATGTATGCACGTATATAATTTTTGGATTGTAAGGAATGACATAATTAATAAATACATACTTTCTTTATAAAATCATAATTAGCTAAGGATATATAATTAGTAAATACATACTTTCTTTAAAGTATGTATTTACTAATTATGTCATTCCTTACAAACAATCCAAAAATTACAAAGTGCATCTAAAACACAGATTTCTTATTATATTATCCACTTTTGTGGAGAGATTGAAATCAAACTACAAGAAATTATTTATTATTATCTAAATTTCTAAGTATTTAATAAATTCAGCATTGGTTCATTATTTGTTATTAGCTTAGAAATTTGTCATCTTATCTCATTCTCTTCCCTTTACTCTATGTATAATCTATGTTTAAAAGAGTAAATTATCGTGCAAGAGTAACTGAATTAAATCAAAAGTAAGAAATTTCATTTATTGAATGATTATTTTATTAAGTAGACTATATTAGATATATTCAATATAGTTTCCCTACTTTGGTCATACAAGTTAAAGGCAAGTATATTCTCTCTTCAAGCATACTTTTTTAAAACAAATTTTTTTTACAAATTCTTAGTTAAATTTCTCTTAGTAAAAATTTATACAAAAATTATATCACTACTTTTCAATTTTCAATATTTGTATTTGTATAATTAATCAAATCTCTCAAATACACTGCGCAAAAAAATTATGGCATAGAAAAATTTTGAGCAAAAATTGGTCAACTTTGGTTAACGGTAACTCCGTGAAAAATCATCGTAAAATGATGACCTTTTTTTTAAATGAAAGCTTGAAATC